GTAGTTCAAAATTGTGAAAGTACAGCAAAACTTTGGTATGTAAAAGCATAGGCTTTATAATGTCCATTACTTTAAAAAAATTTTTATTGATATTTCTATCCTATAATAATAATGTTGTTATGTAGATTATGTAGATGAAATATACAAGACCATAGTCGATGCTATTGAAAATAAAGTAGTTTTAAAATATGCCATTCTGCATCACTTACGGTGCCACTGTTCTTTTTAAAAAAAAAACAACTTCGTCTAACTGGTAAGAAGTTAATAACCAGCTTTTTTGTTTCATGCAAGTTTGTACTTGGTCATTTATCACTTTGTAAAAGTGGCGGCCTCGACCTTCGAACAACAGGTTTTTTTTATATATCAATATTTCTTACAAATACTTTTTTTAATGGCAAGTTTATTATATTTACCAGCTTTCATAGTATCACTCAGTTTACTATCTTTAAACTTGTTTTTCACTAGAAACATAAGCAGGATAGTTATGCCAAGTAAAACTTTTAATATGAAAGGCAAGATTGCGTTTTCTTAAAATGCTTTTTCTTTTTGGTTAGTTTTGTGTTAAATCATTGCTTCTTGTACACATTGTCAAAATATCTTTAATAATTTGAAAACAATCCATATCCGATTGGGACATTTTACATATTATTTTCAATTGGTTTAAATGCTAATAGTTAAATTACAGCTTTCCAGATGCCAAAAGTTTCCCACGATTTGTGCAATTCCCTTTGTACGAAGTCACTGTTGCGCAAAACCCTTTGTCTATCCGAAAAAAAATACAAAGGATCCCATATTCTTAGGAGCTAGTGTGAATCAGACCTTAAGCTTGGTTCATACCTATCCTAAGAATTTGGGATTGCCTTTGTCTGAGGTCGCTGGTACGCAAAATGCTTTGTCTATCGGAGAGTGATACAATGGATCCCCGATTCTTAGGAGCTAGTGTGAACCAGCCAATCATCTTGGCTTTCCACTTCAACTTCGTCTTCATCTTTGTCCCTGTCAATTTGTTTGATCAGTTGTTGTTTTGGTGTGAGAAAGCAAGTTTGTAAAGTTTGGAATATGATGTTTGAATTTTTAAATGTCACATGGTTTTAGCGCACATTCTTGCATGTAAACATTTTAAAACGCTTGCCGTATTTTACTAATAAAATGTAAAAAGTTAAGTTTTCTTTTAACACTAGGGTTAATATTGTGGATGAAATGTGTGTCAAGGGATGGGACAAAACTACCAGGATATTTCCGGGAAAGTTAGGTCTCTGCGTCAACTGTATCTAAAATCTGGAGACAGTACCGCGAATCTAACACATTAGATCCAAAGCATGGAGGAAACAGACAAAGCTTGTCAGATGGTCATCTTCAGTTAATTGAGATATTTAAGAAACAACGACCTTCGATAACCCACTCTGAAATTTTAGATGCTTGCATGAGCATGGAGACCTCCCTGAAGAAGATACTTCTGTAACATAAGTTTTAATGCTGTTCAACATGAATTACCAAGTGGTCAGTTCACTTTTAAAAAGGTTACAGGTGTGGCACAAGAAAGGTTTACAATAAATAATATGGCATACACACAATTGTTCATAGATTACTTGCATGGCAAGGATCCATATTCTTTAAAATACTTTGATGAATGCGGGATTAAACTTCCTGGTAATGTTGCTAGAAATTACGGCCTCACACCGATAGGAGAAAGAGCTGTTCTTGGATGACTTAAATATAGAACTAGTTTACATGCCAGTCTATAGTCCAGCTTTCAATCCTGCAGAATATATTTTTGGTATGATTAAAACACTCTTAAGATATAGACTTTGTGATTTGAAAAACACGAACCTGATTGATTCTATATACACAGCTGTAAGCCTTGTACTTATAGGGGACATGCATGGTTTTTTACGAGTAACTAGCTACCTAAATGTATAATCTGTATATACAGCTTACGTACATGTAAATAATAATTGAAATTATTTAAAGTTGATATTAAAAAAACCTGAAGAAGAAACATTTAATTTTTAAAACATTTAGTTTTTAAATGCTTTACTTAATTAGAACTTGGAAATAAAACGTCAGCAATCCTGAAAATGTCAACACTATAAATAGATATTATGTTTTGAAAAGTTAATTACAAGTGCTCTTCAAAACCAACAGAACACAACGTTCTGAAATAATACATTCAATTTTATCTTTAAATTGTTATGCAGAACTGCATGCATGTCTTACTTTGATCTTTGGCTTTGTCGGAGATGCAACAGTGCTGCAGCATCATGCGCCTCGAGTTCCATTTGTGTTTCCGGGTCGGTTTCCAAGCACAAGTTTCACTATTCCTGTAGCTTCCACATCTTCGACTAGTATAGGATCCTGTTGCTCTGTCCACCGATGTCGTACAGGTGGGGGGGATTCCATTTCTTGTTGTTGGAGTTTTAGGGCCAACTTAAAATTCTGTGTTTCCAGAATTGATAGTGAAGGACCAACACAGCTGCTTGCACTAGAACTACATGTACTTGGGCTAATTGATGCGGCAGTGGGATAAAAATGACCCATTTTTGGAAAAACTTTATACCATATTCGTCAGACAGTAGCTATTTCTGAAAGCTCATTCTGTGATCTGTTGATCTCTCAGTCCCACTACTGGCAGCAGTTAACCAAACATTTGTGCCAAGTGGCAATTCCAAAACTACACTGTGGAGAAGTTCGGTGACATTTTCTCTCAATGGGAGCTTACTGAGCAAACTTTTTTTACCACAGCTACGTCTCTTCAAGAGCATCCAATTTCGCAGCCCAAGGACATATAACCGTCTGGTAGTTCCCTGACAATGATATCTTCAACTGCGTTAGGACTGATGTTAATACTTTGTCGACAGCAAGCTTTGCGTTATGAATCTCTATTTGTGCCGATATTAAACTTCGTTTAAGCCAAGCAGTTTCTCTTTCTAATGTTGTAACCGCTATCTTTTCGCTGCCATGTTTTGAGAGGGAACTGCAAGAGTAAGCAGATCTGCAGGGACTGAAATCGTTTTAGAGGACAATTTCTGCATGTAGTTTTACTCCCTTATTTTGCTGTGATGCGATTTTCAGCTTCTCACAACAGTTGCAAGCTGTTGCCTCTTTGTTTGCAACAAACGTTTGATATTGCTCACGGTTTACTGTTGTTTTTTTACATATTTCTCTAATGGAAGTAATATGTGCAGGTCTTTACAGGGATAAGTAGGAAAATCGCCATCTGAGTCACTGTCACTTGTGTCATATAAAGGATTGTCTTGCCCTCCTGTTAAGGTCGACAACCTGCGGAATGGTTTGGGCTTTGCAAGCATCTTGAGATGCCTAATTTTTTTTGTTGCCATTCAATATGTAACTTACACTGTTTTTTTTTTTAGTGTGAGAAGGTGGTACACTGGAACTTCGGATAATAAACGTGACTTTAACTCTTAGAAACCATATTAATCGATTGTTGACAACCTAATGTTTGAACTAAAATTAACTAATGGGAGCAGCTCTAAATGCGGCCTATCTTTTGTAGTCAAAGAGCGACTTCTTGAAGTCAAAGAAACAACCAACAAGACAAGCAAATGACAAGCCAGCAACTGAGCAACATCTCAAATCGTTGGAAGATAACGGATTAGAATCTTCTGAACTTGTTTTTCAATCCTATAACTTTGCCTCGAATATGTGTGGAGTTCACAATGGAGCACGGGCTGAAGTTGAAAAGAAATTGAATAGAAAAGTTCCATATATCCCTTGTGAGGCCCAGAGATGCAACAACGTTGTTGAGCACGGATGTCAAAGCAGCGATATCATTCAAGAAGTGTTCAACATCCTACAAGAGCTTTATGTTTTCTTCTCAGGATGTACAAAGCGTCACGCCATCATAGCTAGGCATCTGGAACAAGTTGAAAACTCTCTCCAGCTAAAGTATCTTTCTAAGACGAGGTGGACGGCAAGAGCAGAATCAGTCAAGGCTGTGTTGACATCTCTTGAAGCTTTGATTAGACCTTTGAAAGAGACTTTGGAAGCACCAAAGCTAGACTCAAAAACCAAGGCAACCATTTCGGGCTTACTGAAATGTAAATTTATAGCAAAAATTCTGCTTATTCAATGTTCAACGAGCGACAACAGAAATGGTTAATTCTTGCATTTGTAAGAAAGCTATCACTAAGACATCCACAACCAGCTTTGTGTCTATCACACTTACACTTAGCAGTTAGTACTGATAGAAACTGATCTTGGTATTTCTTTTTTAATGTCGCTGAAAACTCCTTTTGCTTGGCTACTTCTTTGAAATGCGATTAGCATTGGCATTCAAAAGGGGAAATTTACAAGTGTGACAGGAATGTGGGTAGAGCTCATTACAACAGTAATGCACTTGAGTCACCATCTGATCAAAAGACCTCAACATCACACCCTTCATCCTTGGCTTCTTTGTAGCACTCTTCAGCAAGACACCCTTCCATTGACTTAGATATTCCTGTGAACAAATCTTCATCTATGACATCATTTTTACCTCGCATACATTTATGCCCATACCATACCATTTCTTTCTCTTAGGTGCAAGAGCATGTGAGCAAGTCATACATCACCACATGAACAAGGTCCCGGGGAACATTCAGTTCATGCTCTTGTCTTACTTTCTTGTGCATAGCTCGGTAGCCTAACAGTTTTCCAAGGCTACTGAGTTCCTTTGAAACAGCTTCGTGTACCAGCATCGCCCTGTTTACCTTCGCTTCATCAAAGAAAGGGATCCATCCAAGTCGTTTAAAGAGTTGAACACTGTTGGCTCGATTTCAAACGAGATCAGTGAATTCATTGCTGTATATCAGCTTCTTCTCAGTGCGTACTAACGGTACTGTGTTCAACAAATAAGCCGCAAATATTTGACACTAAAGTGTTGTACTGAAATTGAGAGCCTTTTCAGAGAATTTTAATGTGACAACCGGAGAATGAGAAAGGCGTTAATTGACCGTCGTTGCTGCCATTAGTTTGCGCCAAAACTGACTATGTCAGGCACAATGTCAGGCACAATGTCAGGCACAAACAAGAGAAAATTATCTGCAAGAACATTAGGTATAAAGTATGAAGCGCTCAAGAAAATAGAGAGTGGCATTCCGAAAAAGGACGTCGCTGCTGAGTATAATGTGCCTCGCAACACTTTATCCATGTGGTTGAAAAACAAAGAAAAAATAGTAAATGCTTTTGAGAGCAGAAATAATCGTTCTGCGCAGAAGTTAAAATCGAGCAACTATGAAAACCTGGATCAGGCAGTTTACAAATGGTTTGTAAAAGTAAGGGAGGAGGGATTACCAGTGAATGGTCCAATACTAAAAAAAAGCGATTAAGTATGCTGAAGAACTAGGCATAGAAAACTTCAAAGCATCAAATGGCTGGTTTGAGCAATGGAAGAGCCGGCATGAAATATCTTTCAAAATTGTTTCAGGTGAAGCAATGTCGTGCACCGAAGAAATGACCACGTCATGGGAAGAATCGACTCTTCCAACTATTGTCTGGAACTATGAGCTTCGAGACATATACAACGCAGATGAATTTGGCCTCTTTTATAAAGCGCTTCCAAACAAATCACTGCAACTGAAATCAGAGAAGTGCATTGGTGGGAAGCACAGTAAAGTTCGATTAACAGGCCTTGCAGCTGGTAATGCAGTAGGCGATAAATTACCCATTTTTGTTATTGGGAAGTCGAAAAAACCCCGGTGCTTCAAAAGTGTTAGAAACTTGCCATGTAGATATCGGTCTCAAAAGAAAAGTTGGATGGACAGCACACTTTTCAAGGAATGGGTCCTCGAACAAGATCGTAAGTTCGAACGCGAAGGCAGAAAAGTAGCACTTATTGTAGATAACTGCCCCGCCCACCCTACCATGTCTAGTCTAAAGGCTATTAATTTGGTGTTTCTTATACCGAATACAACATGTAAAACCTAACCAATGGACCAAGGCATCATCAGATCAATAAAGGCGTTTTACCGTGGAGCAACTGTCCGCAAGTACATCAACGCTCTGGAAAAGGGAATGTTGCATCCAAAATTGACCATTTTGGATGCTATGATGATCCTGACGGGCGCTTGGAATAGAGTAACTGCGGAGACAGTTCAGAATTGCTTCAAAAAAGCTGGCATTGGTAGTGAAGCGCAACAAAGTGCATTTTGTGACACTGACGACCCATTCAGGTTTTTAAGCAAGGAACTAGAGACTTTGAGAGAAAGCTCCCCAGAGCTTGTGCCAACCTGTATAACTTTGAATGATGTAATCGGCACAGATCAAGACTTGCTAACCTCAAACATGGAATCATTGACTGATGAAGAAATCCTAGCGGAGTTTCATGAAACCATCGACGGCATTGACCAGGATTCTGATGACGAGATTGAAATGCTAGATGACGCTCCAAAACGACCTACTACAAATCAAGTGAGACAGTCTGTTGATACTCTGCTAACCTATAGTATGTTTGTGGATGAGGGAGAAGAGATTTGCCAACTAACCCCTTAGTTATCTTTGCTAACAGAGCGAATCATTCAGAAAAATAAAAAGCAGAGGGACATTCAATCATTTTTTTCCGAACATGCATAGTACTGATATATTTCATAATTATACAAAGCAGAATTCTTTGTTTTTAGCAAATAGACGCATGAACTGCGGTAATTAAGGCAATGATTGGATACTGACTGAAGGACACTGAATGAAGAACTTTAGTTAGGGATGCACAATTAAATATTTTGTAATTTTAGGGAACAGTAAAATCATAATAAATGTAATCTGACACCAACTCCGGTTAACTCGAACTCCCGTTAACTCGAACAATTTTCCCTTGGGAGTTTGAGTTAGCGGGAGACTACTGTAATCCAGTTAATTATATAAGGGTTTATAGCAAATATCTTTAACTTATTGCATAATATATCATGTGGTACAATGTCAAATGCTTTCAAACGAAAAGACTCTGACCATCTTGGCTTTTCCATCCAACCATTCCAACCACATATGTTGTGCTTTTATTAGCGCCATTGCGGAATTGTGACCCTTCCTATAAGCATATTGGTCACTGTCCATAAAGTTTTGAATCCATGGAGCTAGCTCGTTTTTATAAAGAGCTCTCTCGAGCAGGTGCATTATTATAATGGTTAGGGAAATAGGCCGCAGTTGTTTAAGTTATGTAAGGGGGCTTTCTTTTTGGAGTGGTGAAAGGTTTGCCAATTTCCATATGTCTGGCACAGCACCTACTTTGATCGATCTATTAAAGATAATTGTTATCACTGGTGCAATATGGTAAGCATAATCGTTCCAGAAACAATAGGGTAAATCATCTGGTCCAGATGCAGTTCTTTTTTGGTTTAGTAACAACTGACAAACCATATTTACTGATAGTTCTGGAATTCTCGTACCACTAGGAATAGGAACTGGTAGCAGAGTGGAATAGTCATATCCAAATTCACACTTTGGAAGTAATCATTCATTTTCTTTGGATCTAAAATAGTACTTAAAGGTACCTCAGAATTTGCATGCCCAGTTATATTCGTAAGTAAAGACCACCGTCTTTTTGATCTAGAACTTTGATTCTTATTTTCTTGTTTGACTGCCTTAAGTTGGTTTTCGCGAATGAGGCTATTTATTCTTTCTTCCAGTAGGTAAGTTCTTTCATTGCCATTCTCATGAATAGCATTTTTCCTTAACTTTAAAAAATGCTCAACTATCAGAGAAAAAAAAGGGAGATCTCTACTAGATACACATGTCTTAAAGTGCATATCACCTAATTTTTTTTATTTGATAAACAAGAAGTAAACCTCTCTAATAATCATATTTTTTTAAAACAAACCTCTATTGCATTGCTTTTGATACGTTCTGGGAGCCTAAATTAGAGTAAATATAGCGATTCTCGATAGCTTCTAAATTTAGACCGAGCAAAAATGAGTGTCGAGGGCCTGGGTCTTGTGATTTAGGGCGAGGAATTTTCATTTCCCATCTTGTATTTACATATACGGCACTATACAAATTATTTCACATCTTATGCGAAAATATGCCTAATAGACCCTTCAAACAACATTGGCCTTCGTAAATTTCCCGAAGATAACGATTTGGAGAAAAAAAGATGGCGAATTTGGATTGCTTTTGTTCAAACAAAGCGTGCAAAATGGTCTCCAACGCCAAACTCCAGACTTTGTTTGCAGCATTTTCGGGCCAATGATTTTGAGAGCCCATTTATTACGACCAGGATTGGTTTCGTTTGTCGCGCAGTACTTGAAAAAAACGCTGTGCCTACAATCCACAAAACTAGTGGCACAGAAGACTCCGGAGAGCATAGTCCAACTTCCACGAGACAGCATGGTCGCGTAAGTATGATATTTCATTCCTTCCCTTTTATACGGTATATACCTATCTCTAACATTTTGAATTCTAAGGAATATGAATTTTGTCTTTGAATAGGTTGTACGAGAAGTCCTTAAAGAAAACAGCAAAGAGTTGCGCAGTTTTACACTGCCGATATTTACAGCTGGTGAAACAGCGTCAGAGTTATGTTTGGGTGATGCTCCTCATTCACAACCATTTCAAAGTCCAGTTGCAAATGACTTGCTTCCAGAGGATCCAATTTCTACTGTGAGTTTTATAAGCTTCTCTAATATTTTCTCAAATGAATATACAGTATACTAAGTTTATATGTCTAGGTTTTCTTATGAAATTTATTTTTATATAGTCCAAAGAGGCTTCTACTCTAACACCAGAAGCACATTGTTGTAAGAAATTGGCAAACGCAAACAGGCAGCTGCAAAATAAAATCATTGATTTAAAAAAGAAAATAGAAGAAAAGAATAGTAAGTTTAACGACAAAAACGTTCCATTTTAATTAATAAAAATAAACAGTATTCTGATAGATTTATATAGGGATTATCTATAGCTAGTCATCCTTAGTAATTGACATAAATATCATTTAACTCTGATAGAGAAACGTAGCAGGAAGCAGCCAGGCAATGGAGATGTTGGCTTTCAAGAAGTGCATTGAAAAGCTTCTTGTTAGTAAGCTACTTTGGGATACCTTCATCACAGACCGGCACACATCTATTGCAAAGTATATGCGAGAAAGCCTTGGCCGTATTAAGCATTATTTTGATCTTTGGCATCTTAAAAAGAGTTGAGTATATATTTGAGTAATTTGACATCTAGAAAATATTATTGTGAGACTGATTCTCAATATTGGTTGATTTTACTGTATACATCCCACACAAACTGAAGTTGTAATAAGCCAGCAGAAAAACTTTTATTGTTTTGTAGAAATACACACAGTTCTGAAAAAAATCAGTAAGGAAAAAGAGTGTGAAGAAATAGTGGGATGGATAAAGCCATGTGAAAATCATCTGATGTGGAGTGCAACATCTACCCCATCAGGTGATGGTGAATTGATATGGGCCAAGTTTGAGTCATTCTTGTCCCATATAGTCAACAGGCACTCAAACCTTCCTAATGGCATATTTAATAAATGTGCTCATGAGAAGCTATATCTGACAGGCAGTGGCTTGAAGAAGGTTTCATGCTGTCTATACCTCTTATGTACATTTATTTAAAGTATAACCCCTGTTATACATCAAGAGTATTTTCTCATTGAAATATATGATATGATAGTATATGAGAAAGTGTGCAAGAGTTTGAAGAAGAAAGCACTGGTAAAAGGCTTAAAGAAGGCTTCCCTAATTGCCCAAACAAGTTGCCTTGAGGGCTTCCATTCTGTGGTCAACCAGTTTGCCCCCAAAATGATTCATTATTGATACCCAGGAATGTATTGCAGGTACAGATAACATTACCACCAAAGCCTATAATTATAATGGAACTAATTATCATCTGAACTATAGTGGTGATGAGTAGAACTACCAATAATTTCAATGCTCTTTTAATATTTTGCTATTTAGACATGTGCTAGCAGCAGTGCATTTCAACGTTAATCTCAATCGAGAAAACGCAGATGGTAGTGATCAAATAAAAGTTGTTTACCCAAAGTTTAAAAATGGGGAAGCTATGTCGAATTGCAGCCTAAATATGGTATGTGTATGCTTATTATATTTTTTCATGCCTGATTGTGTTAATAATTATCACTTTACTTCATCTTTAGACTATCATTAGACTGTTGATGAAATCATGAACATGTTTATTAAAGTCCAGAAAAGCAAGAAACTAAAGGAAGCTAGGAAGGAGCTGGAAATCGTGACACAATCTCCAATGAACACTATGCTTCAAAAACAACCGAGGTGTGAAGCAAAAGCAGCACAGGAAAAGAGAAAATCAATGGTTGTGCAAGAGGTTCCAAGGACTATTCAAGGTATATCACTTTCAGGAATCTATATGTAGATTTTCATAATGAGATTGGAAACCCAGCTCGCCCCATTATGATTCTGTTTTACCTGCACTAACAACAAGCAATCTTAGTACACCTTGAAAAAGTGGTGGGGTTTAATGGGTTTAATGTTTGTTTTAGTGAATGCAGAGACAGAAACCTCAGCAAGGAATCACCAGCCATTAAAGCGTTGCCGAACATGCAGAAATCCCATGAAAGGACATAAATATATAAAGGATTGCCCAAAAAATATGCAGACCTGATTTTTTAAATAAATATCTATATTTATACAAGCTTTTGAATAATTATAAATACTTAATCATCCATGTCATCATCCTGGAAACCAACAAAATGCTCTTTACTGTCCTTTGGTTGAAATTTAGATCTTATTCTAATGCATGATATGCACATGCAGGAAGAGGAATTCGCATTTTTCCAACACGGTCATACACAAGATGAAAAAACTCCCGGTATGCTACACTTCTCATGAACCTACAGATATAAAAAAATAGGATCACATTAACCATAATTTACAGTTATTTTGCTTGACTTTAACCTAATAATGCTAGCACCAAACGAATGGCATATAAGTAAAATATCACTTACGCCTCCTCTGATCCAGTTTGTCAATAACACTGCCTATTGATTGTTCTGTACTTTGATACTGATAACCTTAAAGACCATCTATCGAGGCAAACAGTGGAAAATGCCGGATTTAGTGTAATACACTCTGGGGTAGTAGACATGTCTTGAATTACCCATTCGTCTGACAAGGACTCCACGCATCTATCAAAATCTTTACAGTATACACATTCATTTTCATTTTCCAAAGATGCTGTAAAGCAATTACCACAAGAGCGCCTATCAATTAATAACAATAGTTGTGTCTTTGTGGTCACATATCTCAAAACAAAATTTCAACCGCTATAATATACAAAGAGAGAAATCTGCCTGAAATATATAAGAATGAATATGTTCCCATCTTGGGCATTTCACATACCAGTTACTAAGGCTTTCTTTTCCAGCAAGACGATCCTTTAAATTTGCCAATTTTTGCTCTTTCTCTTTTTGTGTGACTGGCTTTATGCAATTTAATGCTCCAACAGTCTCAGGTAATGAAAAAGCACATGCAGGTTGCCAGCAATGATATCATGTTGGGATTGACGAATGTAGT